GAACCTATTGCAATAAAACGGCAATTTCATACTTTAACCCCTAATATTTCCAGAGCTACAAACAAATGCAAAGCTACGTGGAAAATAATAAATAATAGTAAACCAAAAATACCCCAAAATTCTATATCAGGTCTAAAAATCAACGACAAATTGGTAACAGATCCTAAAATAATAACACAAAAAATTAATAACTACTTTATAGAAGAAGTACAACCGTATTCAAAAGTAAAGAGTAAAAATACATGTAATTATTCTACATTTAAGCCTTTTTTTTATGAAACCTACAGTCCCTCAGGGTACATTTAACGTTATACGCAATTTAAAAAATACAAATAGTACAGGGTATGATGACGTATGCACGAGGGCACTAAAATATGTAGCTGATGTGATTTCTCCTATCCTAAGTGACATAAACAATATGTGCATTGTAGAGGGTTCATTTCCAGAAGATTTGAAAATAACGGTTATAAAACCCATGTACAAAAAGGTAATAAAATACGCATGGAATCATATAGACCTGTAGCATTACTGCCAGTTTTTTCTAAAGTGTTTGAGAAAATTATTTATGACATATTATATGGTTACTTTGAGACAAATGAAATTTTTTGTAAAGAACAAAAAGGTTTTAGAAAAAACAGTTCAATTAATTTGGCGATTTATGACTTCTTAGAGAAAATACATGCAAGAATGGATAACGGTTTACGGCACTTGCTATATATATGGATATGACAAAAGCTTTTGACTACGTAGACCATGACATTTTACTTGACAAACTTTATTCATATGGTATAAGAGGTAATATACATAAAATGATAAAATCATATTTAAAAGGAAGGACTCAGTTGACCAAAATTAGTAGAATGAACATTCAAACAAGAAAGGAAATGGAATATAACTCTGATACTAAAGTACCACTATATGGCGTACCGCAAGGTAGTATTTTAGGACCATTGCTCTTTCTAATATATATTAATGACATGCCTAAAGCTTCCCATCACTCAATGGTGCTCTATGCGGATGATTGTACAATGACATATATTAAAGAAAACGAAATAAATACAAGTTTAAATTCATTAATAGAATGGCTTGAAGATAATAATTTAAAAATCAATTTAGAAAAAATAAGACTCATGAATTTTAGGTTGAGAAAAATAGCTACTAAGATAAACCTAGAGTACAAAGGGACAGACATCGGAGACACAAATATAACAAAGTTCCTAGGTATACAGATTGATGACAAAATTAACTGGAAAGCACAATTAGAGAGTATTGGCACTAAACACAACACTTATGCACATACATTATATATGCTTAACAAAGTTGTAGACAGATACTCGGTCCTTCAAGCATACCATGGTTATGTTGCGTCCTTATTAAGATAGGGTATAATATTCTGGGACAACGCAACTAATGTGAACTCAGTTCTTAAGGCACAAAAAAGATGCGTCAGAGCAATATGTCGATTGAAGAGAACAGATAGCTGCAAACCATATTTTAAAGATCTTCGACTACTGACTGTTCCTTCACTTTATATCTACGAAACTGCCGTCTATGTCCGAATGCACTCACACTTGTTCAAACAAACTCTGAAGCCAAGACGATATGACCTACTTCGTTTGAAAGCCTGTAAAACTACCTTCATGCAGAAACGTATTTTTGTAATGGCGCCAAATATTTACAATTATTTACCGGAAGCACTAAGACCTGAGAAAAATCTTATGCTATTTAAAAAACAATTAAACAAGTTACTGACTACTAAAATGTACTATACCATGTTTGAATTTTTAAATGATAAATCCCTAAATTCATTGTCTTATTATTGACGTTATTCATGTTACTATATTATTTTGACGACTAATTACCATTAAAATCGACTTTTTTTTTAATTCTGAGCGACTTATTAAATCCATGTGTGCACGCTCATGTAATATTATTGAAAAACGAAACATGTTACACCTGGTTTAGTCTGTCGAAGTGCACGTGAGTGAATGTATTCAATATTTGTATGCCATCTGTTTGGCCGGACACAGTGAAACTATACGTATTTTGTACATGTCAGTTTCTACATAACCTGTGTTTCCACAAATAAATGAATTATTATTATTATTATTATTATAGGTTATGTTTATAACATTATCCTGTATTTCGCTACAGATGTTTGTTCGTAGTAGCAGATAACAACAAGTTTTCAGTTTGTTCCTAAAAATAATAAAGAAGTTGTTGAATATTCCTAAATCTGTCAAACTACCACATTTAATACAACGTTAACATGTTCTGTCGCAATGTAAATGAATAAAAATTAAATTTGCCCAAATGATCACACTATTCTCAATCTTAAAGTGACATTGACATTGGCAAGGGGCCTCTTGTCAAAACGTTCCTTTGCTATGTATTTTTAATTTTATGATATTATTGTTTAATTAATTATTTCATTAGGTATTTTATAGGTTTAATGTTTTATGTGTACTATAAAATAACTAATACTTCTGGTAGGTAAACATTAAATTATGCTTAAAATGACATGTACGTACAAGAACGTTATCTAGTCTATGGTCGATCTGAATCAATTGCGTTATGTTCTTGCATTTATTCCAAAATACATTGTTTTACAATTTCTTTATTCCCGACTTCTAAAAATATACAAAAATATATTAATAACTAGGCATAAACGAAAACGTAAAATTATACAAGCAAAGTCCATGAACGGCACTTCGTTGATTTTGGGTCAGATTTCGCCATCCTTCTTTAAAAGAAGTATTGCATGTAGAGTGAATAATATACCTGTCTGAAATACCTGTATGACATTTTATTCCATATTTTTAATGTATAATTAGGAATTACTTTATACCGGTAGAGCATTCAGAAGAAAAGTTTAGTAAATTATAAGTAAAAATGTAACTTTCTTATTTAGATTTTTTTACTTATAATTTTAGAAGGAAATAAAATTACAAATGATTCGCTATTACAAACGACACCACACAAGAAAAAGAAACAAGACAGAAAAAAATCAAAACGTTCAAATTTAAGACAGAAATAAACAATTAAAAAACCACATCACGCAACACAGATTATATACATAAAGAACGGCACTAAGTATAATTAAATATACTATGTGCGGTGCCAACGGCGGTAACTTTAGCATATTCTGGAAAAAGCAATGCGTTCCCAGCACAAATTTTCAGTCAAGATCCAAACTTTTAATAATTTCGTGGATTTCAGAAGGAGGTATTTACTCTCAGGTAATCCTTAATACCAGTACTAGTTTCGATTTATTAACACAGGACTAACATATAATTAACTTGATTATTTGGAATTTTAAATATTTATTTCTTTTTTTTATTCTCTCTTTCTATGTGTTTCTGTGTTATGGCATTGCAATAAATGTTTTCTGTTTATTCTACAATTACTTGTAGTATAAATACTTGTAATTGCGAATGTGTAAAGAAAGTTTCAAAACCAAGGCTTTTAGATGACGCAATTTTTTTTGCTATCTATTTATCTACTACACCTACTCAAACGTTGACTGTTGTGCCATTGCAATACCTGGTTAGATGACTCATTTAATTGCATCGCTGACACAACAAACAATCTTATCTCTTATTGGATAAAGGTAATCATTTTCTTAACGCATCGATTACTCACCCTTGTACGTCTGGGCGTGTTATTGTTTTAACATAAACACGTACATAATAGTACTAAATATTCTTATCTGTTCTAAAAATGCTACGGTCCCTATGTCTATTGGTACAGTCTAGCACATGTGTGCCGCGCCTCCGCCGTCTCTGATGAATTTGTCTGACGCCAGACTCTATCTTTGCTCCAAGGCCAGGTAGTGATCAAGAGGAAGTCCATTTACTTAAAAAAATTCCTATTCATACAAGATATAAATTAAGAACGTCATTTTTATAAACATTAAGTTGATTATTGATAGTACCTATTACATACTTGCTAAAGTAGAAATTATAGTGTCACAATACGTAGTGAATACAAAGTTGTTTTAATTATTGTTTATAGTGATTTTTTTTTAATTCAAACAAATCAAATGCCGCCCCCGACCATTTTACGATTGCACATGTACCTATGGTCCAGTGTGTAAAAACGTGTTGTAATTTTTAAAAAATCCCATGCTTTTATTGAGTAGACCTTTTCCTGTGCTTTTTTTATGAAATGAAAGTGCGCATTTGACTTCCATCTCACCTGATGGAAAGTGACGATGAGGTCGACGATGGAGCACGCACCTATTCACTCTCGCCTTGAAAAGGTCCAAGTTATAACGTTCAGGGACAAGTCTGCAGGCAGGGTATTCCTCTCCATAGCCGTTCGTCATATAAAAGTAGAAACGTAACGCTTCGTGCGAATCTTTGGAATATCCACAACATAGGGGTGGTACCCAGGTCTACGTCTGGTCCCTCGATGATGGAAAGGGGAAGGAGCATTTTTGCATTTCTGCATTTTTGGCTGTAGATCTGCCGAAGTTCAAATTGGACGACAGGTTCATTCCAAGTAGCTGAAGAAGGTCAGCTATCGGTATGGATACATCACGAAAAGTCGGAGTCAGCTCAAAGGGACTTCGTTTTGTGGAGAATATACACGCCTGAGTTTTGGTAGTATTAAATTCTGAAGATTGGCATCACCCCAATCGGAGACTGCCTTGAGTGTCATATCGAAACTGCTAACCATAGACTCTCGACAAGACTGGATTTCCTCTCCACTGACCCTTGCATTGGTGAAGTACCTATCTACAACTGTGCTGTAACCGTAGAAGATCTATGTTAAATATTTAATCTTAATTGTGTAGTTAAAAAACCGGCAAATCATCAAAACATTATAAAAACAGATTTTAGTAATTTTTCCACAATCTTACCTCACCGTTCTCCAAAGGTCGTGGAGAAACAAACTGTGTAGAGCACGTGGCTTTTTCCACCCCTCTCCTCTTCACCGCTCTAGCTTTCCGTCGTCGTCTCTCTGGCCGTAAGTCCCAAAGCCGCTTGCAGTGCTCTCTATCCCCATAGGCTCGTATCAACCGCCAGTCTTCGCCGGACTCTGTCGGTGACACCTCTAGCGACCAAGCGAGTGGGCGCGGAGAAGGTCCTGATTTTATTATGACGTGTAGGAGGTCCATTTTCTGTAATAGACAATGTTGTTGTCATTCAAGAGATAGAAATTTGAATCACGTCCGGAGCGAATATTTTAAAAAACCTACACTGTTAAAAATACCAATGACTGATATGATAACTATCAATATTGAAAAGCAATCAGGTAAATCACGAAAACATAAAAGTCGCTCAGGTGAATTTTAATTTCGTGATCATCATCAACCCATTTATACGTCTCACTGCTGGGTACAGGTTTCCTGTCTAGCGAGGGTTCAGGCCATAGTCCGCTACGTTGGCCCAATGTGGGGGTTGTGAACTTCCTTCCTTCATTACGATGTATTCCTTCACCGAAAAGCTCATGGTAAATTTCAAATTGTAGTAAAGCGTAGTACGGATGACAGAGGAAACCAAGCTTTCTTCCGTATAGCACAAGTTTATTGCTTGACACAGTCGGTACAACAAGTATTACAATAGAACAGTATAACGTACAATAGTAAACTACTCCCCCTAGACAACTTCTAGATGCGTATTGTACGAGGTATGTAGTAGGCTCTTCACATTATGTTCATACCACCGACAGTGGTCATTCCGCGAGGGAAAATCTTAACACCGCGATGCAGAATTTGCTATTTCGATGCCAATGCCATCTAGCCGTGTGTGACGGAACTAATTTGTGTTGTCACATGTTATGTGATTTTGTTACAAAATTAGTTTTTGCACATAAATTCCGAAATACTCCCAAGGTGCGAGACCACGGCCTCTGCTTGAGTGGCGGTCGGTCTAACCATTAGCCACGGATTTTTAAATATAATTTTACTTTGTTTTGTAAGTGTACCTCTTTCTCGAAGTTGGACCTACCTAACTGGATCATTTGTCCTAGGTATACATAATCGTCAACAACTTCGAGTGTAGAGTTTCCGACATTCATGAGAGTTGGCCTTATTCGACAACTTCGTCTTATCCACGTTCATTTTAAGACCGACCCTTTCGGAGGCTCTACTGAGAATGAAACTGAAATGCTCTACAAAAATGCCAAGCTAACAAAAAATATGCATTTTTTTTTGACGTAAACTCGAAGCAATTTTTTTAAAAACTGGGCGGTTATTTTTCCAAAAAAAAATATTTTTTTTTTATGTTTAAATTACTTTTACACCTGGCGGCAATGACCCAATAGATTGTGATGCCTATTAAAGAGTGAGTAAATAAAGAAAACATTGATTTAAGCAAGTGGACGAAGATCTGAATAATGGATACAGGAGCCAATCAAATAGCGGTCACAGACGGAACGTCGGGTATGGGCGTGTTGTTTTAAGGACAAGTCGAAATTATAAAATAAAATCGACTTTACTTGACACGCAAAGCGAGCTACACTAAAATGCGATTTTAGGAAATAACATCATACTCTTCATATCTAACGTGACCATACGTCCCGCTATTAGGCTTCGTGTTCCGCTATCCCCAAAACACACACGTAACAATAAATAATAAAAAATGGCGCGAAAGCGAATAACATATGTATAAAGCCAGCCAATCAGTCATCGAGCGCCAGGCTACACAAGATTAGTTATTGTTTTCAATGTTTGATGATTACACAATTTTTTTTATCATTAAACATTTCGTAGGTATCATAAACATGTGTTTTAAAATAAAACAATGATGAATTTATAAACCTCCCGCTCTAAGGGAAAAAATAATGGCCACGTTCTTCATACCCCAAACGATAAAGTCAAAAAATGATAGTAACTACATGAAACAAATTATGTATAATATGTTTATTATGCATTTATTTACTCGACTAATTTCGTACTTACAAACTTAAAACCTCTCTCTGTGATGTACTCTACATTAAGAGAGAGAGATAAAGGTGACAAGTCCCTTGTGCCTGTAATTTCACGAATAGCTTTACCTTTCACGACCGGAACGCAGTAATGTTCACATTACTGATTGGTGGCAGAAATAAAAACCTTATCTGGTTAACTCTTACTCAAGAAGCACTATTGCTGCTAAATAATAATCACATGATTATTTTTTTGGCGAAATTCTTTCTTACAATGTGAGTCTAAAGTTATGCTTAAAAATACAACCGTAACTATGAGGTTCGATTGCATGGCATTGTTCATGTCGTCATAGACATATTGGCGCATTTTAACTTTAAACAAGGCGAAAATATCATCAGCAAAAAATCTCGTGAGCTATAATCTTCCAAGGGGCATCTGTGAGGTAAGTCATCAATATAAACTAAAAATAGAAATGGACCTAAGATTGAACCTTGACACATATATAGATTGAAACTTGACACGTTGGGGACACATATACAGTACCTGAAGTTCCCTTGAATAACCTGAAGAAGATATTCACACGTTCGCCACTGGCCCTTAACCGTGGCATGGGAGCACGGTCGATGCGATCAGCGCCATGTAAGGCGTAACTAATGAGCGCAGGCGCAGCGCGTTTTTGTAGCGCCGCCATTGTCTCGTGACGACGCTTGTTGTCACAACAATGTTTAAAAAAACACAGGATTACTTCACGAAAGAAGCTTCATCCTATGCCTTTGAATTTATATAGAAATAATATGAAGATGTGTTACTTCTGCGTGGTTCAGAAGTAACATATCTTAGTTTAAGGTGAAGGAGTAAGGTTTAATTGCCCATTTGGTTTGGTTAAATTAAAATTTAATGAGAATAATACCCTCGTGGGACTGCTTGTTACGTGGTTCGTGAGTAACGACGCCATGGATCCGGGATCTTTCGGGAATGGAGCACATGGACTAAAATTCAAGCGGTGGAAGTGAAATAAAAATGCCCAACCTTTGGACAGGTTTCGTAGAAGTGCAACATACTTTTTCAGTCGCCTTTCGCGCACGCCGTTTAACGGGGATCGATCGCCTGAGTGAGTGGACTATGAGTGAGACGTTGGAAGCGTCTGTTGTCTAAGAAATCAGTCTAATTAATTTCCATTTGCTTTGGTTTCCATGTTTTTCTAAAATAGTTTTAATGCACATGGCATGGACAATTTTCGAATAACCTTATAAATTACAACAAAATTGTAGACGGTAACTGTACAGGTTAAACTATCTTATTATAATTCTAGTGACGGGACGAACAGGTCGTGCTCCTGATGATAAGCGACACACATGTCCGTAACAATTGCGGTGCCACTTAGAGCTTGAAATCACAAAGACCTGAGGGGCACTGCCACTGTGTCCGTCATCCTGAGACATAAGTTGACAAGTCCCAGTGCCTGTAATTTCACTTACACCCTCACCCCATAAAACCAAAACGCAGTAATGATCACATTACTGCTTGGCAGCAGAAATAGGTAAGGTGTCAGTACTTTCCTGGACGAACTCTTTCTAAATACTCATATCTCAAACCAAGCTTTCCAAATAACCAGGTCTTTATATAATGAAAAATTGAAAAAAAAAACAAAAAGTATTAAAAAAAGCCAAAAAAGTAGTTATTAATAATTCCAGAGCAAAATCAATGTCTAGACTACATTCGGAACAATGTAATGAAATGGAAATAGGTCTTCCATTTAATGTACGTATAAAACATATTCAGCACTATCAGACAGTTAAAACCTATAGATAACATTGTAGCGACGATGATTCATATTGTTTATGCTCAAAATAGATTATAAATATTTTAAGGGCTTTAGAGAAAAGCACCAGTGCGGAGGTACTAGCAAGAATAAAGGTAGACACATCTAGGTAATAGTCGAAGAAGAAGTGTGATGAGCGATATTATACGATATGACAGCTTCATCAACAATCATGTAAGAACAAATGAGAAAAAATGGGAACTAAGTCGTACGTGGAGGTCAAAGAAAAAGATTAAATTAGCTCTTAAGAAAAAAAGAGAAAGGGAGAGAGAGAGAAAGCAAAACTTCAAAAAACGGAGGAGGTTCTCAATGTTACAGTATTTTTTTGTATGTACATGTGTTACGCGATAACTTATCATCATCATTCGTGAACTGATTTCGATGATTCTTTTTTGTTGGAAAGAGGGTACCTTTGTATCGATTCCATTTAAATTTGAAGAAAATATTCCACCTCAGAGGGTGTAAAAACTGGGGGATGAATCCGGTTTCGAGGACTTTCCGATAACCGATTTCAATAAAACTTGGCAAATAGATGTAATTCTACGAACTTTTGAGGTCGGTTTTTACACTAGTGTTGGCATTTGAAAAGATTCCATAGGGAGTAAAATATGCGTTAGTAAGTTTCCTCCCAATGACGTAAATAAATAACGCATACACTCATAGCTCTGTGTGTGACGCGGGTGTCATGGATACACACATTAAACAACCACAAATTACACCCAAACTCACGAGAGAAATAAATATAGGTCATAGAAATATTTCACCCTGCTCAGGACTCGAACGTCTGCGTAGCAGATCAGCATGAACCATTCTGCCACGGAAGCAGTTAATCAATTGACGCCTTTATTTTAAATATATTTGCCCTCAAAGTTAAACTTTAGTGATTTTTTTACTTCACGATAAAAAAAGATGGATGAGTCCATTCTTATCTCAACGCAATTACGTTAAATAAAACGTGGCTAAAATTAAGAAACGTACATTTTATTGATGACGTTGTAGAAGACGAGGGAAAGGGTTGCGACGTGCGGGGGATTGCCACATTGGCCAAGTTCTTAATTTGGCCGCATACAGATTTGCTACTTTATTATCTAACTTTATCTCTTATCATAATGTTAGCAGTTTATTTCAGTTCGGCCAGAACCACGATACAATCTAGTGATGTGATTAAAAAACCGGCGAATATTTCGCCAAATATAAAAAATAGTAAAACACTGCAAACTTGACCCGTTTTAAAGTGCAATATTTTATTTTTGTAACTTTTAACAAAATGACGGACTCAGTACTTAATGATGTGAATGTGGATATGTTACACAAATCTCCGAGGCACCCCGGTGGGTCCATGGACACGGAAATGGCAAAACGGCCAATACCCGAAACCTCAAGCAGAAGCAACGATTATGTCTATGTAAACAGTGCGTATACCGGAAGCCTGAACAGTGTTAATACAAATATAAGAACTGACCCTCCGACTAGGTAACTATAAGTATCTGTTACCACCTATGGAATCGTGATGGAATATACAGAGTTATTTTTAAAATATTAACAACCGTCCTGGACTACATTACTAATTAACAACGTTTGTTCCATGACCTAATAATTCCTATAATTTTACTTTCGTGCAAAAGTATTGAAATAGATTCCTCTAAACTGTGATAACTCTTGCACGTGTGATTTTATTACCTTACTACCATATACAGATTTAAAAAGTGTCAGATAGTACAACAAAACCTTAAAAGTTTGTTTGTAAAAAGTCATGGAAGAAAATTTCGTCGCACTAATTTCGAATCGAGTATTTAGAATCTTATTTTTAATATTTTTTAAAGCCTAAACTGTTCCACTGCTGGGCAAAGGCCTCCCTCCCCTTTCTCCACACCTCTCTGTTTTGCTTCACTGAGATTCAGCCTTTTAGGTGCGCGTCTAGCTCGTCTCTCCATCGACACTTTTTTTTAATAATAATAATAACGCCCACACTGGGGAAACCCTGTTCCGCGGGTGCCATAGACATACACATACAGACAACCACAAATTTCACCCAAACTCACAAGAAAAATAAATGTGGGCCATACAAATATTTCTCCCAGCTCGGGAATCGAACCTGAGACCTCTGCCGGGCAGTCCGACATGGTAACCGTTCGGCCAGGAAGGCAGTTAGGAGTTAGGAGGCCTTGATCTGCCGTGTGGGCATTTCCTGTCTTTGGGAACCTATCCTGTGGTGGATCGCTCACGACTCCGACAATATTATTATCCGATGTATACACATATATTCCAGCCCTTTCCAGCTCTTAAATTTCTATCCTAAGGTTGCCTGGAAGAAATTGAGACTTAGCAATCAAGCCGCCCGTTGAACAATAACTTAATGCGTGATTTGTACATTACAGTTCTGTTATATAGAATATAGAGCAAAGAATATTTCATTCCTTTTTTCATTCATTCAATTTATGAAAACCGAAAGTTTTGCCCAACTTTATTTGCCAAACTTGTATTATGTATTTGGAAATGGGTTACACAAATACATAAAAATGTCATACACAATAATGTTGATCCTTTATTAAGAAAATGACATGACTCTGAAATAAACGTTAACTAGAGAGGATAATGCAAGTCTTCTAAACATAACGATAAGCTAACAAAGATAAGCTACCTGTGTTATCTAAGAATCTCTTGAAAAATCTATTAATTACAACAGCTTCTTAAGTAGGTTACATACATTAAAATTATAAATATATAATATATATCCACGCCTGATCTACAAACCTACCTACCTAACCTACAAACTGATTAACATCCTTAACAATTTTGATACATATAAAAAAGTTTACCGCAGCAGTAAAAAAATGAAAGCCTGCAAATATGGTTATTAAAGGTTGTTTAATTTGTATAAATCAATATCTGATAGTAGAACGCCGGTCGTTTCGTGAAATTAATATATTGATACCGATAGCAATATCTAATCTCTGTAAACAACGTAGACAATGACGCGAGCCTATAGCGATAATTCGCCTTTGCACTGAAATGTGACCAGGTGTTATTTTGAATTGACTCGATGAATATCATTAGGTAAAATAAAAAGTATTTTCCAATAATAATTACCACAATCAATAATGACAAGCTGGTTTTATAGTCGCGAACACAAGTACAGACCAGCACACAGTTCTTTTAGTTACATTCACGCATAGGACCCATGTTAAAAGTAGTTGAAATAACTGCGCTTGCAGAGCTGTTGTCATGTTAGCAATCTAAGCGTGCGTTCCCATTATGTCGTGATGACAGATAGTCGTGCAGTTTAAACTATCGTGGCTTATATGTTAAAATGAAGTTGTTCACACATAGAACGACACGACAACAGACTGTCGTGACAAACAGTCGTCCGACAATAAATAAAACGTCACGAAAAAAATGTGACGACAGATAATCGCAGCTTCAAACGATTCTGTCGTGCTAACGACAAGGCTGCCGTGAACCGATGAATTGACGTGACTAGTGGGGACAGCTAGACACGATAGTCGTTGAACGATAAAATAAATGTCCACGACACAGTCACGACAGATAGTCGTGATATGGGAGCAGGCTAGACGCGACAGTCGTCTAACGATAAATAAAACGTTACGACATAATGGAAACGCGCCCTGACAAGATTTTCCTGCAACGAAATTTTTTATATGAGTACATGTATTTATTTTCTTTACAGCGTAGTTCGTGAACAATACTGCGTGTGTTCAAAATGGCCTGTCGGGCAGCGCGTGCTAGCTATAGCAGTAGGTGCACTCGTGGGGACTGTCATCGGGCTCATTGTCAGTGTAATTCTCCTAGGAACAGAAAATGGGAACAAAGTCGGCTTTTTCAAATAACCTCTTCAATAAAACGGAAGTATGTCAACTTGGTCTACAAACTACCGTCCGGCTTTAAATATAACTTTCGTACTTTTCGTAGTACAATTAAGGGTTTAAAAAATTATACCCTATAGTTAGTGGATTTCGTTGTGCTCTCAAGTACACAACGTAAACCCTTTACTACTACTAGGGTCTAGTAATAGGGCCTTGCTTCATCTTCTTGAACGTCCTGAAATAGAACGCTCAGGGGTACGACTTGGTATGACGTCACAAAACTAAAAAAAAACTAGCTAATAAGATACTTATCATTCATATTAAAAAATCTCATAAAGAAACATGAAAATTTACATAGGTAAGTGAGCTTTTAATAAAGAGCGAAATTTTCGCAGCACGGCAGTGTGCACTTAGCCTAAGTGCCTAATCGTAATTTAAAAAATATTATAAGTTTCTCTTTGTTATTGATAATTAACAAATTTTAATCAATACGAATTCGGTCCTAAATTGATAACTTACACTACAAAGTTGTCCGCAATATCATAATTGGGAATTCAATAATTGATTAACTTTTGTTATTTCTCTAAAAATTACACTAACAAAGGTAGTCGAGAAATGCAGAATATTAGTCAAAGACGGTTTCTGAACAACACAGACCTGCCCTGCAGGTCGCCAAGCCTCCGTTCGGCCGTCAATGGACTTGCTGAATGAAATGAAAACATCGACCCGTCGCCATTGTTATAGTAATTTATATTTAAAAAAAAAGAAAACGTTCAATACGAATGACACCACCTACTCTAACTGCACGTTACTTAATCTTAGTTTAATTATTTAATTTAGTTGTGCTAAAAGAAAGCTCTCCCATCCATGAATGTTTGTACTTTTTAAAAATTATGACTGCTATTTGGATGATAGTGTTAAGGATACATGAACAATTATGTTAAGACTGAATATTCGAAGATCAATCGCTTTAATGGTGATTCGATTATTTATTATCATGGGGGAATTATCACCTACGAGTATATATTTGTATACTGTTAAATATAATGTACATAGTCTTAGTAAAGTAATTAAAAAAAATATATAATAAAATGTTAATTAAGTTAATTATGATTAAATAAATATTTATGATTACATATTAAATTTATTTTCACATATTTTTTGTTTATTTTACTTTGAATAAACAGGCAAGGAAGTCTCCTTATTGCACAAAACTGAAAAGATTGACTGAATTTTTTATTTATAAGACGTATACAATCTCAAACTGTCAAAATTTCCCATTGAACATTTTACCTTACACAATTCACAAAGGGCTTTATTTACAGTATCGAAAAGTGACAATGTCAAAGTAAAAGTCAAATAATCTTTATTTCATAGATAGATATTAAATTATAACATTGAAATCGTCATACTGATTAAACTCTACTGCTCATTTGCTTCCCCTGAGAAGAATGAGCAAGAAACTCTAGGGGGTTGCTCTTTGTACATATACATTTGTAAACATAGGGCGCACTAACTAAGTTTCCGGAACTGGCCACTTACATAAACAATATTTAAAAAGTAATTACAATTTTTGAAAATGGAACTCCTTGGTTATAGAATACAGTTTGTTTCATCTGACTGTCACTTGTTTTTTACACTGTGGCGTTATTTTAGAAATTGGTTGTCTACATCACCATGGATTTAACTAGTGAAAATATTCGTAGTATGATTTTCCACAACTTGTGTGCAATGTAACAGCTCAGCGGAGCTTCGCTCGGCTACAAACTGCTTTTGGCGATGAAGCACCATGCAAGACGACTATTTATAGGTGGTTTGCAGAATTCAAACGCGGTCGTGTCAATCACAGTGACGAATTTCGTGATGGTCGCCCGTTCACTGCTGTGAACAACAAAAACATCGATGCTGTGCGCCGTATAATCAAAACAGACAGATATGTGACATACCATGAGATTCTGACATCTTTTGGCATAGACATGAGTCAAATGCAATCAATACTACACAAACACAAACATTTGGGTGTGAAAAAGCTGTGCTCTCGGTGGATCCCACACAATTTGACTGAGGCTCAATAAACGGATCGCGTCACTTGGTGTAATGCCATGCTTACCAGATTCAACGAAGGGGCGTCAAATTTGGTGTGGGACTTAGTAATAGGTGACGAAACATGGATTTATAGTTACGGTCCCAAAACAAAGCAGCAATCGAGCGTATGGGTCTTCCGAGATAAGCCGAAATTAACCAAAGTAGCGCGCGTGCAAAGTGCCTGTAAGCGGATGATTGCTTCTTTTTTTAATGAAACTGGACACGTGGCTACTCGTTGAATCGTTGTACCGTGAATAGTGATTGGTATACGACCAGTTCTTTGCCGGAAGTTATTGACAAACTCCGTAAAAATAACCGTAAACGCCGTATCATCTTGCACCACGATAATGCCAGTTCTCATACGGCCAGACAGGCAAATTAATTTTCGAAGGTGACCAACGTTGACCTTATGAGCCATCCCGCGTACAGTTGCAACCTAGCACCTTGTGACTTTTATTTATAACCTGTAAAAGCTTAATGAGTCACCACCACGGATTTTGTACACATTAGTACATATGGAGGAAAGCAATCTAGAATTCAAGAAAATTATCCCGATCGAAACAGTCATTATGCAAATAAATACCTGTGGACGATTACTCTGTTAAAATCATTGACTTACAAATAAATGGACGACGGGTCTAATACAAAAACCACGAAAAAAATGTCCCAAGTCAACCTATTTAAACGTAGTGACATGTCAAAGAATATGACAAATCTAAAACGTTGAATTTAAATTGTAATGTCATCGCAGTACTGTCTAATTTTGCTTGCTTCGCTGTCAGTCGAACAAACGAAGACTAGAGCGTGAATGACGCTCTGTATACGATTTTAACGCCCTATAAGTTCGGACACTTTTTAGCGCGGACCCGACGTCCATATAATTGTAAGTCAATGATCTAACTGCTCTTTTTCCTACCGAGAAGGCTACCTGCAACTAGACTTCTCACAAATTTACCGTTGAAATATGTGATCAACATTGAAACTTCTTACTCTGAAACTCCGGACATCGTCGCAAGAGTGCACGGGTTAATGTGATCAGCGCCATGTGATACAAAGCGGCTTTTGAGGCGCGCTTTTATAGCAATGAGTAAGTAACATTCAGCTTGAACACCTGCATTTTTAATGGAATAACAATAAAAACGGAACACTTCAATAAGTGTTCTGTCACCAATGTGAATACAAACACCACAGATCCCAGATCTGTCGGGATTTGTGGTGTTTGTATATCTGGCTTGCGTTTGTTTCCCGCCCTGAGTGGAGCTCTCACAGTAGAGTCAAAATAAGTACAAACAAATGCAACACTAACAAACAGTAAAGTCCTATGAGTAAAAATTATAGCAATGCTGATCGATATTGTCTATACTAGAAATAGATTATGAATATTTTAGAGAAAGGCACTAGTCAGGAGATACTAACTAGAGTGAATGAAAGGAGAAATATCTCGAAAATAGTTGAATATGGAAGAGGAAGTATTTATTAAGTGCGATCTTATTCATAGTGATGGCTTTATTAAAAACCAAATCCAAGAAAAACTGGAAGGCAAACATAGAACAGAAGATATTTCGAGCAAATCGTAAGAAAACTGGAGACTTAGTTGTATAAGAAAAAAGGTTAACATTGCTTTTAAATTTGAGAGGGAGAGAAAAGCAAACGTATTTGATTACAAATACTTTGTTTTATGAAATCTACTTTAGATTTCTGCGACAATCAGGTTCGTTTATTGGCGCTGTCTTTTTGAAACTCAAAGTGAGTCTAACAAATACTTGTGCTATATATTTAGACATGTACTTAATATTTCAAATCTAGGTTTTGTAACAAAACCGTAATAAAAAAATTACACTAGCCCATTATTATAAGACAAGACAGAAAAATAGGATTGAAAAATCCATTCTTATCTCGAAACAATTACATTGCATATAAGGCGTTAAAGACAACGTTGACCAAGTACTTAATTTCACCGCATTTAGATTTGCTACTTTATTATCTACCTTTATCTCTTATCGAAATGTTATCAGTTTCTATTCAGTTCAGCCAGAAACGAGACACGGTTCAGTAATGCCGCTTAAAAACCGGCGAAGTTTCGCCAAATAGAAAAAAATCTAATATAAAAATTGAAAACTTGGCCCATTTTCAAGTGCAGTTGTTTTTTTTTTGTTAGTTATAATAATACGATGTCTTCAGAACTTAATGAAGTCAAGGTACATGTACTACATACATCTCGAAGGCAGTCCGGTGGGCCCTCCAACCAGACTCCACAGGTGGCAATGGAAAAGCGGACGATGTCCACAGTGCCAAGTCGAAACAAAAATTACGTATATGTGAATAATGGATTTACCGGAAGCATGAACAGTGTTAATGCTAATATAGTACGAACGGAACCTCCAACCAGGTAACTATGTATATTATTTTTACCTCGTAACATTTGTCAGTCTTGATGGAATCGTTTGAAATCAATGGTTTTAGTCAAATAAATAGCAATTTAACGAAAGCAATTAGGATGAGATTTATAAAAGGTTTGATTTTTGACTAAACAGAAATGGCGCGCTTTTTCGTATTCACAAAGTAAATTCGATTAATAATAATTAGTCATTTAATTTCTTGCTTGAATTTAGAAAAAGTTCATTTTGTTAATATAAAAAAAACTTTGACTTAGTCGGAATCGAAAATCGTTTTAAAATATTATAATACATGTAAATCTATTATTACACTCCATAGAAACTCATGATAAGGTGGTATATAAAAGGTATATAAGGCATACATCACTTGGCAACTAATATATCATGATGATTTTCACGTACACAATGAGTCATTCGCAGCCGTTCACGGCTCCAGTAACAATACAATCTATAACGACCACTGTAATAAACAGTCAAAGGTTGGCGTCTTAACTTAAATTATGTCAAATTTAATACATTAGTACATGTACATGTTGTTGAAAACAGCGCGTTCGCAAAACGCTACAATTAGTGACCAGAACAACAAAAATTACGTTTATCTACACACATAACACAAACCTTCTACAATGTGTTCAAAACACATTAGGACCAGCATAAAGGTAAACTGTTTTGTTAGAACAAATTTCTTATCTGTGAAAATATTATTATTGCTTCTTATTAACATCGAATTCGATGTTATTATTACATTCAAATTTCGAACACCTCTAAAAAACAAAACAATTTGATTGGACCTCAATTCTAATATCAGTCGAGATGAAGTTTTATTCGAAATGAAATGTCAATGGCAAACAATTTTGACAATTTCACACGTTACTTGATATCGAACGATATGATAGTTGGGGCCGATTCTAGTTTGTCTATGAGTTAAGAAAAACTACGGTTGCGTGACATGCTTGAGAAAAGTTTTTATTTGCCGCCATTTCGCCAGTAGTAACATGCGGTTCCTGAACACATCATAGAGAACTTATAATATGGTACACTTATAATAATAACGCATAGAATGATAGTTTCTTATCAAAGAAACTGTCACAAGTGAGGCAAAAATCAAATTCATGTAGGCTAGTTTTAGTAGTAGGTTAATTTTCGGTTTTAGTGAATATTTATATAAAAATACAAGTTGAAACGCGTCACTTCCTTGTGGAATGTGATGTTAGTATCTATTTTATGTTTGTCTAACGTATTTTTACACTCATTTACCGCCCATTTCGTCATTTTTAGCTAAAATTCTGGAGCTGTTCGCGGTGCAAGTCGACCTTGAGCGCTGAAGGCCCGCCCGCTCGTGTAGGCCCATTGGGAGTGCTTCAATTTGCCTCACTTAGCGTGTGCGGACTAGGTTTCTATGCGTTATTATTCTAAGATGTATATAGATAAAGCAGTGTATGTAATTAGACATTATGTAACATAAACTACTATTAAAACAAGTACAAAATATATTAATTTTCTTTACAGCGTTATTCGCGAGCAATACTGCGTGTGCTCAAAGTGGCCACGCGCTCAGCGCGTGCTAGCTATAACTGTGGGAGTACTCGTGGGAGCCGTCATAGGGCTGGCTGTCAGCGTAGGTATCCTAGGGAAAGATGTTCCAAATTTGGCGAGCTCCTTACTGTGATTACCTCTTGGTTAAAAATGAAAATGGATCAAAAGTGCATCGTGTGGAGCTTGCCTCACAAACTGCCGTGCGACTTTAGATGTAAGTTTCGGTCCTTTTTGTGATACAGTTAAGGGTTTAGTGATTTAATGTAAATAGTTTCTTATACTCAGTCGTACACGTTGTGTATTCATGGATGAAACGTGAACACTTTGCCAGTACTAGAGACGAAGCCGGTGCTTCATTTTACTGCTATGCCGAAAGGTGCACAAGCGCGCACTGCGACACAAATCCGCGGCAAATTTTGATGCTTATTAAACAAAAACTGTAAAATAATGAGACACTCACGTTTCGTATTAAAAAATCTCACAAAAAACATTATTAGATCCTTACAATGGGCAAAGTTTACATACGGCGGTGTATTTGCAACACAAAAGTGTGCGCTTAGCCTAAGCACTCGTAATTAAAAAAAAATTCTCATTGATTATCCATAAATTTTAATCAATACGAATTCTGTCCTAAATTGATAACTTTCCCTACAAACTTTTCTATATCGTTTGATTGGGACTGATAATTAAATTATTGATCAACTTTTGTTATTTTTATACAAATTACACTAACAAAGATAGTCGAGAACTACAACACAATATTGTAAATGAGAGTAGATCCTACACTCAGTTCGTACATCATTGGACGTACTAAATATCTAATCTGCTGCGTAAGATCTTCAAAAGAAATAAGCATTATTATAAAATACTTAAATATAATTAGGTTTGACAATAAAACAACATAGCCTCTACTGCACTTTTTCTTAATCATCAGATTAAAGCATCTCCGGCCAGTTCATGTGTCTCCATTAAGTTGTGCTAATATAAAGTTTTTCCATCCATAAATCTTTTCTTTCTTACTAAAAGATATAACAGCTTGTTATATCGATGGATGTGTCAAGGAAATGTAAAATTGTCTTAAGACTGAATATTTGAAGATTAATCGTTGTAATGTTGATTTAATTATTTTCTTTTATAAATTATCACTTATGATATTTATCACTTATTCGTCTAGCGTTAATTTTTATTGTCTTGTATTGTTTACAGTAACACAATTATAAACAAAAGATGATAAAATGTCATGTAACAATTTTATTATTTATTATTGTATATTAAATGACTTTTCATATTATTTCTACAGTTATTTTATTTATTTGCAAACAGCCGATTCACCTCATGAGCAAATGCAAGCAAAATTGATTGTAATATCAATGTGTTTTAGATTGTGACCTGCCTAATGCAAGGATAGACAGGGCAGTAATTTGTTTATTATGTGGTTAATTGTACAATTAGCTGTACCGTTATTCTATAACGTATGTAATCAACTTTACAGTTGTTATTTCCTCAACGTGCATAACACAATGAAATAAAATAAAAGAAATTTAAGCAATTAAAACAAAATTAATTAATATGAAACAAAATTTAAAAAAACGAAACAATAAAACCAATTGACACAATATTAAAAAACAAAAGGATATGAAAGATATAAAACTAAATTACAAACGGACTTCGAGAAGTAGCAAATTAATTTACTTCCACTTTTATTAAAACTAAATTTATACGAAATAAACCGGAATAAAACAAAATAAGGACTATACTGTCTTCGAAATTTTAACCTTATATCCTCCTCAACGAGCATTGATTTCCAGTGCCGGAGTGACAGTTTGCACTTAAAAGGAAGCAGGCTAATCGGAAAAGTGCCTTACATACCTGGAAAATAATTCATAAATATAAATTTAATTACTCTAATCTCCCCTCTACCCTCCTCTTGTTTGCAGCCGTGCGAACTCAGGACACAATAAAAACAAACAACTCTAGTATCCATTTTATCAAACGAAAACCGCTTCCCAGAAGTTCATCTCAATGATCTACGAGATAAAACATTTATGACAAACAAGACTTTACGTGCTTCTAGGCCACTATCGGTAATCTACATTATTCCCACACAACTATTGACTTAGTAAGTCAATGCACACAACAGTCAATGTTATCAGGTCAGAACTTGTAAACATAAAGTTTTCATCATAATCATCAACCCATTCCACCACCATAGTAAAGTAATCACTATTACACGTCAGTAATATAATAGAACGAAATACAATACAATAATTCTAGGATTTCAGAGGGAGGTATTATCCACTCTATGTGTATGTTACCTCCTCGAAGTTCATGTAAATATATGCCTATTCTGATTCTGGAAAGGTTTCCTAGGGCTGCGACTTTTTTTCGATATGCACCGTTAGCGATTGGTGTTGTTACACAATATATGGAATAAGTACGTAAGTTGTGAATCTAATTCATAGGTGCATGCCGCCACTTTTTGCCCATTTGGCGGTGGTAGCTCTTGTATATAAAGTTGTTCTACCCGCGTAATAATTATAAATTATACCTAATTCGTTTTTCTTCGCTAATCTTTAACACTTCTATGTCTTTTTGATAGTGGCAACAAGGGCATAACAAAACAAAAACATAAAGAAGTGTTCGTGTGCGTTAAGATTACTGCAAATAAATATGATAAAAAAATTACGAAATCACTAAGGTACGCGATATCGATTGGGCCGCAACCATCAAACATTTCAACACCGGTCACCATTACGTCATTCGCGAAGTATAATGTGAATTGGACAGTACACTCAGCATTATAATTAAAACCATATAATTTTCTTTTATAAATTTATCCTGTCGCTCCCAAAGTTGCTTCGAAGAGATTGCTATCTAGCAATAAAGCCGAATAATGTACCCTAACTTTTGTCGTTTTATAATAGTTCTTACGTACTATGTGCCAGACAACCACAGCAATTGCCTGGTCTCAAACTTGGGAATTCCCTGTACTGTGAGTACCAAAACAACGGAATTCACTCTGAGGCATTACCCAGAGCACCCAGACCAGAACCAGTTTAGAAAATTCATTTCCCAAATTGGCTATACCGGGAATCCACGCCCAGGCGTCATCCGCCCACAATGCAAACCGTTGGGCACACAGGGTCTACAATAAAAAGCATTTAAATACGTTGTTTTAAAAGATTCCAAAGTGTAAAACTAAGCGAGCTGTTGACTACACAGTTGTTTGCCAAAAGTTGTATTCTACTCGGAGATGGCGGAAAGCAAACGGAAGCATGGTGGTCAACATATTCGCTATAAGGATGTGCTCAAGAGACATCTACACGCTTGCGCTATTGATCTATCAGGTTGGGAGGGGCTCGCTTCACATAGGTTGTCTTGGCGGCCTACTATTCATAAAAATGTAAAAACATTCGAACAAACACGAATCGCAACATTTAACTGAAAAACGCCAAATGAGTAAAGAGAGACATATACTTTCAACTCCGCTGGTCAACTTTATTGCTCGGTTTGTGATCGGGCATTTGTCGCTGTTATCGAAATTGATAAGGAGGACTATACATAGTAGAAACAAAAAGTACTTGCAATTTTATAATCGACGACATGATACATAAATTTGCAAGAATGGTGTCCAACTACAATAGATATAGCTCCTTAAACAAACGCAGGATTCAGTTCTTTTGTAGTGTAGTACCCTGATAAGAACACCAAACGGCAAGATAAGTTGTGATAGATAACGTCCATCCATCAACTTATCGCGATTGCGCTGTTCTGTGCCAAAACTAAATAGATATAATGGAAAATATACTCTTAATCCAAAGCCTCAGTCAGTTTAAAGAAAAAACATTAATTAAGTACTTTACTGTTTTAATAGTTTCATGCTTATTCTTTAAAGGATTATCACTAGTTAAAGCTCGCTGATCATCATCGCCGTCCCGTTTTTCATGCCACTTCTGGGCACGTATCGTCATAGCCTTAGACTTTATAGGGTTTCCAATTCCAAATCTTGGATGTGCAGGTTTCATGACAATGTTTTTCTTCGCCATTTCGACGAGAGGTATTGCGGCTAAAAACCACAAAGCGTAAATAAGAAATTACGTAATCATAGGAACATGCCGCCACAACACGACACGTTAACATCTCAGCAAAAAAAACAGTTAAGTTTAAGTGGCAATTTCTTGACACAACTTGTCATCAAAACTGTAATCAATTTATTTATAATGATAAATCTTTTACTGGTCCAAACACTGTCAATACTTTTACAGATTATTTAAAATCGATATTTTACGTCAACATGCCGTATCTGAGTGCAGAGAGTGCGCAGTGTACTGGAGCTGCGGCGGTCAGGCTAGCATTGCGTGACTACTCAGCTGCGGGACCTTTACCTATATATTTAATCTGTTACTTAACACAATGACCATAACCTACTGACATGAAAACATCGCATATCACTGCTTTCAGGCAATGATTCGAGTAAGTACCAAATACTACGATTAGTAGGTAAATCCACGTACACCTTACGGGAATGTCAGCAAGACTTTGGAAAAGTCTGTTAAGCACTAGTGAATAATATAAACTTAATAAATTACTTACTAGAGATTTGATTTTAAAAAAGCTTTCGACAGGATTGACAAAGACATTCCTCTAGCAAAAATGTGTCATTGGCTTCTCCACTGGTAAGTTTTTTACAAGTTACTGACGGGAAACAATATGGGCAACATGGTCTATAATACTCTATAAAACTAATATTTTTGATAATACTGCTTCAGGGGTTAGTCAAGGTTGCATACTTGAACCGGCACAGTTTTTATTTCACGATGACTCACTGGTGTTGTGAAAACTAGCACAGCCTCTGACATTAGCAGATAATCGTAAGTATACCTGGGCGTGAGTAGACAGAGTGTCTATAGATCACGTTCCTTAATCTTATTTGACTATTGGGTGACAGTGAACTATCATTTAATGCACACATAACAGACATGTGTAAGCACGTCCATCGGTCACTTTGGTCATGTTATTAGGAATTTTCTCAGTTTACAGACATACATTGTGTAAACTGCTACATACAATGCATATAGCTGGCATGAGTATAACTCTATAATTTGAGATCTTAAAAAATTATAATATTTTTCGATTTGTATAAAAAGCTTTATTAAGCACTACCCGTATTTGTTTCGGTCTTTCTTTTTGTCTGGAATTGTCGGTTGTGTCCTACCAGAGGTTCCCAAACTTTTTGCTTAGAAGACCACGTGCCAATTATTTTAGTTCAACTTAGACTTCCTGATTGAGAATTTTTTACAATTTCTTTAAGTTTTTGACAGCTAACAAATTTACTTTGATAAGTTGAACTGCAGAGTGAGAACTATATAATAAGAAACTCATCATGTTCAATTTTATTCATTTATCTAACTGAATTATGACAGTACATAGATACTATCTGTGCAATGTGGATTAATCCATTTACGGAAAGCTAAAATTGTGGTCACGACTTTCACGACGAATTCACTCTCGTGAACCCCTATTAACTTTTTATGCACCTCCTTTTTTACACTAACATGAGCCCCTTGTAGGTACAAGTGGACACTTTGGGAATCATCGGTTTAGACGTTTCAAAATTCAATTGTAAAAAACTTGTGGTGAAATTGACAATACAGCGGAGTTGACAAGGCACTCGTTGTTTGCACCAGCAACATCACCTCGTGTTTGAGTCTGGCATCTACACACACTGTAAGTATCACAACACGCCCCTGCTCGAAGGGAATTATCATTGGTCAATGCTCTGATTGCTCATCATCGTACATTTATTTGATAACAAATAAAAAGGGAAGGAATGTTTTACAATGAAATGAACGTTTATCTTAGTCAAATAATAACTAAAGTTGGATAGTATACTTCATGTTAGTGCGTAGCAATCATGACCTGCATGTTGATATATTTAATTTTAATGTTGATGCAATAAAGCGTAAACTCATGGACATTCTATTTTATTTTATTGAATTTTAATGGCTTGTTATTACTTTTATGTAAGTGCATGTTGTTAACAAATACTATTTATCGTTCGTTTGTTAAATGCTCTTGTTTGATTTGTCTGAAGCTGTCGGTGGAAACCAGTAATTGGCTTTATGTTTCTTTCCATCTTTTTATTAAATGTTTAAAGCTGTTGGTTTTCTATGAATAAATAAACAAATCAAATCGAATAATCATTTATTACATGGGTAAAAATTTTTACACTTGAAAACGTAATTTTTTAAGCTACTGCTCGTTCACTACGCTGAC